CCATCCATCCATCCATCCATCCATCCATCCATCCATCCATCCATCCATCCATCCATCCATCCATCCATCCATCCATCCATCTATCCATCCATCTATCTACCTACCTACCCACCTACCTATCCATCTGTCTGTCTTTAAAATCAAGTTCACAGCCCTCAGATTAGGAATCTAAACAATACAGGCATGCAGCTCCTCCACCCCCACAAAGTATTTTATACTGTACTCAGCTACTCTGAAATCGGTTGCCAAACAATGATTTTTCCCTGCATAGTCTTTGCAGATATCTGTTGATTACCCACAGATATACAGCTCTCTTAATCATCCACTATTAGCTTCTCCTCCCCACTAACTGCCTAGAATGATTCACCTCATTTGCAGGGGTAAGCTGACACTTCCATGGTAAGCTCACCTGGAAGGGTAGAAAGGAATAAGGATTTATCAAGCACCTACTATGCACTTTAGAAATATTATCTCATTTGATCTTCACAGCAACTCTGGGAGACAGATACTATTATTGTTCAGTCATTTCAGTTGTGTCCAACTCTTTGTGACCCTGTTTGGGATTTTCTTGGCAAAGACACTGGAGTAGCCTGCCATTTCCTTCTCCAGCTCATTTTACAGATGAGGAAACTGAGGCAAACAGGGTGAAGTGACTCAATCAGGGTCACACAGCTAGTGTCTGAGGCCAGATTTGAGCTCAGGAAGATGACTCCAGGTCCAGCACTCTATCCACTGCATCATCTAGGTCCCTAAGATACTATTATGATTCCTATTTTACAGTTGGAGAAACTGACATTAGTTAAGTGACTTCATACACTCCAAGCTCAGAACTCTATCCACTAAGCTACCTAATGTAATCACTGATGCTCAGTAAACAGCTGTTCAATAGTTTCAGCTGCATCTCACAGCCATAGAATATCAGAGCTGGAAAAGACCTGTTTTGGAGATCTGTTTTAACCCAGCACTGTAATTTTGCAGGAGAGCAAAGTGAAATGGGAAGTGACTTTCAAGGTCACATGGGGGTGGGGGGTATGTGTGCTATGTGGTGGCTTAGCAAGGACCAGAACCCTTTGTCTTCTGACTCCCACCCACTCCAGGACTCTTCCCCCTAGACCTAGATGGAGTTGTTCAATCTCATCTGATTTTGTGACCCCATTTGGTGTTTTCTTGGCAAAGATATTAGAGTGGTTTGCATTTCCTTCTCCAGCTCATTTTACAGATGAGGAAACTGAGACAAATAGGATTTACAGGTGACTTGCCCAGGGTCACACACAGCTAGTAAGTGTCTGAAGCTGGATTTGAACTCATGAAGATGAGTTTTCCTGACTCCTGGCCCAGTGCTCTATGTGCCACTAGCTGCCCACCTAGATAGAGAGGAAAGGATAAATTGGAGCTGGTGTATTGTACCTGCTCTCCCTACCCCCCACAACACGGTTTCCACTTTTTTCTCTTAGCGAAATCAAATCTACATTACCATTGCTTCTTTAAGGGTGTGACCGTCAATTTCCCTATGGCTCCACTCACACCACCAGTGGTTTGGAGGCTGAGTTGTTAGGCTGCCTAGGGCCAAAGACCCCTTCCCTGGGTAACATTTCCTGTTCTCTGATACCCATCTAGGTCATCCTATCCCACTCATCCTTTCATTATGCCCTTCGGAACACCTGTTACATTGAAAACAGGCTGTTCTTCATGTTAGACCTGCGCCCTCCTTCCCCAAAATAGCGTGTGTGTGTGTGTGTGTGTGTGTGTGTGTGTGTGTGTGTGTGTGTG